ATGTCTTGAAAATCATGAATTTTATCATGAATATAGGTTTACGAAACCAAATCTGCTTCCATAACATAAAATATATGAAAAAAAGTTACAGATTAATTGTTATCTTTTACATCATACGGTATAGTTTCAGCCTCTATTGAATAGTTAAGTGATTAACTATTCAAAAGGTTGATATGAAAGGCGGCAAAAAACGCATCAACAAAAAATTTGAAGAAAAAAAATGAAAAACTCATGGTTTGTGACTTTTTTATGTTTTTCTTTTTTTTAATTCCAACTCTAAACAAGATTAACTATCGTTTTATGAACATTTAATCTGTATATCTCTAACTCTCGATTTAGATAAAACTAGACTTATTAAGATTAACTAACTCTAGATCAACTGCAGATTAAATTACACTAAGATGAACTAGACTAACAATTACTAATTATAGTAACTAATTATAGAATAAGCTAGAACTTGATAGTAGATTGTTGAATGCTAGAAAACTACAAAATTACAGATTCCAAAATAGAAAATTTTATTTTTCCATGCAATTATTACTAAGCTTTTACATTCCACCAGAGGTGGTTATCCCTTTCTTAATATGCTAAAAGAAAATAAAGCAAGTTTTTTTTTCCTCCTGCGAAATAACATTTTGGCGGAGGAGACATAGTCGCGCTGTCACACTTGATTTCCATAGTTATTTCGCTTCCCTGAACCTTGTATTTGTTAATTTAAAGACACAAATTGTTACTTAAATTTTTTAATACAAACTGATTTTATTTTCCCTTATGCATTTAAATCAAACGTATTTTACAGAATGATTTTTTTTTTGTTTACAGACATCTCTGTACAGTAAAATAACAATAATAAATTTATTTAATGCTAAAAAATTTATTAATGAGATTGTACTAGTAAAATATAATACTTTCCCTTTCAAAAAATTAACATTTTCCTTCATATTTAAGTTTTCAAGAATTTTTCAAGGCCCAGGGGACTATTCTTGACCAGCGGGTCATAGGCTAAATATAAAGCGTTTTCAACAACTTTCGAAGCACTTTTACCCCGTAATGAGTATTAAATAAGCCCAGTTGTTATAAGAACACAATTTTTAATAATATTTTGTATATTAATGCAAAGTATTGTGATATTAACTAAAAAATTGAAAAAAAAACTTCTGCATGATGCTCTTTATTATTATTTTTATTATTATTATTATTATTATTATTATTATTATTATTATCATCATCGTCATCATCATCATCATCATAATGCACCAAACACGTGGTTTGTGCTGTCAAAGAGGAAATTTAAAAGAAAAATAATAAAGCTGTTAAAAATTTAGTAGTGTGCTGAACTATAATATCGATCAAATTTAATATCAACTTTAATACAGAGCGAAGTTGAAACAGATGACCGCGCAAAATAAATCTTCTAAACTTGATTATACACTGTAAAAAATGTTGGTGTACAGGCAAACTAAATAAATTTTTAAATACAAAACTGTGGTTATCGTGCAAAAAGTTATATAAAATTGACAATATAACAGTTGTTTGAAAGAACTAGAGCGAATATATTAATAAAAATGTGCTAGTTTTTTTAAGCAAAATTTTTTGCAATGAAGCCATAAATTGATTCGAATAAGCATTAAAAAATTTTTGTCAGAAAGCAAACAAAAATTGAATAAATAAATGAAACTGTAGCAGTGGAACAGTAAGTAAAAAATATAACTACATGCACTGCAAAACACTTTAGTTTATCTCAACGCCAAAAATGGTGGCAACCGTACACCAAAATTTTTTACAGTGTACAATACTATTCTTCAGCTTGAACGAATGGTAGCCCGGTTCAATCTATCACTTTATTAAGTAGCAGCATTTTCAGGTAGTTGCATTCACGCATGGTACTGATCTGAAGGTTCTACATTGAACAGAGTCTTATAAAGTGCACTTAGTTGCGCTACAAAACAATCATTCAAATGAAATTAAAGAGCATTTTAGGAAAAGAATTGTTCAATATGCACTCGATTTTAGGATGGTTTATCGTTTAAATTTTCTGCAACTATAAGATATTAAATTGTATCCTGTTTCCGTTCAAATTGAACTATAGTAGCAAGCTTAAAGTGATTCTATTTACAATAATACTAACTTGATACTATGCTATGGCTGTAAAGTTGCATGACGTAATCGTTCAATGTTAAAACCTTCAAACAACGCAATTGTTAATAATTTGTAGAAATTTGAAACAAATAAGAACATCTTTAAGAATCCAAATAATTTTATTCCAAAACATTAATTTAAGTCAAAAAATGATATTTTAGAATCAATTAATATTGTAAAGATGGATTGTAAAAAACATCATAACCTCGTTGGAATATTTTTTTTCGTCACGCGAATTATTTTTAATTTCATTCTCATAAAATTCTGCTGAACTACAATATCGATACCTTGAACAATAATACCGTGCATATTGCAGGCATTATTGTTCATAGTATCAATTTTCCGCAACGTTATATAAAGCAGTTAAATTGAGAGTCTATTCAAACTCTGTGTTTCCATACAAGATGAACCACATTAATAAAATCTAGGATAATCTGGTTCACTTTGGCACTGTATTGAAGTTGCAACAAATTTGATCATTAAGGCGTTTGTGTTTCAAGTTACCGAAATTATTATTCAGTATTAAAACCATTTTTATAACAGTGTACTCATAAAATTAAATTTGAAATAAATAAATTTCGTTTCGAAAAAATGAGTGAGGTAATGGTACAACTTTTGAATCATCCCATAGACTAATCATAATTAATTTATAGAAATTTAAAATAAATTTTTGGCGTTGAGGTTCAAACATCTTTAAGAATCAAAATAATTTGATTCTAAAATAATTTAAAACCAAGAAGAATATTTCAGAAGGAAATAGTATTATAAAGATGAAGGGTAAAGAAAACGAACTCGTTTGAATATTTTTCTTGTTACACGAATTATTTTTAAATTCACTCTAAAAAAATCAGTTCAACAATGAACCACAATATCCATACCTTGAACTATAATACCTTGCATATTGTCTGCGACATTTTTAAGCAGTTAAATTGAGGGTCTGTACAAGTTCTGTGTTTTAGATCAGGATGAAGCACGGTATCATGTAATCAAAAAAAGAAAATCTGTTTCACTTTGGCACTGTATTAAAGTTGCATCATATTTGATCGATATAGCTTTTGCGCTTCAAGTTATGATTCAAAATTCAGCCAATTTTAATAACTTGCAAAATTTGAAATAAATAAATTAGGTTTCGAAAAAATCATTTCAATGAGATTATGAAGCATTTTTTGAATTATTCCACAGCCACTAGTCATAATTAATTAGTAGAAATTTAAAATAAAAAACAATATTAAAAACAAAATAACTTTATTCCAAAACCACTACATTCATTAATGAAATTTAATTTAGAATAACCACAAAATAAATTCTATTAAATTTTTCACCTGCTATGAAAATATGGTTCATTTAAATACGCTATTGAAGTTGCAGCAACCTTGAATCATATGGTTCATGATACCGATATCATGATTCAACGTTTATTCAACTTTTAGGAGAATGAATTTAATAATTTATGTTATTCCAATAGGGACATGATGCATATTTAAAGGCATCCCTTAGGCATTACTCAGTATTAGCTTGACTAAATATACTCAAGATCATTACGAATTAATGACAAATTGACATTGTGTGATAGTTGATGTTACCAATGATTCAAAGTTGAGAAAGTTTATGAGATTATAATTAAAAATAATTTATTTTACAGCAATTAGGTTATGATGAATATTTAAAATTGGCAGAATCATTATTAATTTTTTGAAAGTTGAAATAACTAGCAATATATTTAAGAATTCATATGTAGTTACTCTAAAGCATCAATTGAAATGAATGAAATATACCTAAGATCATTATGAATTAAAAATTCACGACTGGTTCTAAGTTGAACCAATTTCTATGATAGTGTAATAAAAAAATAATATTTTTATTCGAATGAGGTTATTATGCAAATGGTGCTGAACCGATATTTATGAGAGCGTAATTAAAAATAATTTGCATTACTCCAATGAGGTTATATTGCTCATTTAAAATTGCCACAATCATTATTATTTTTAATAATTTGAAGTAAACAACAATATATTTGAGAATTCCTACAATCATTCTAAAAACATCAATGGTGTGAGATGATTGATGGTACCGATGATTCAAAGTTAAACAGATGTTTTTAGAGCATAATTAAAAATAATTTGCTTTACAGTAATGAGGTTATGATGCATATTTAAAATTGTCACAGCCATTATTAATTTTTAGAAATATGGAGTAAATAACAATATATTTAAGAATCCATTTAAGCATTCTAAAATAGCAATTTAAATCAATTAATTATATTCAAGATTTTCAACCAATTTCTTTAGTATAATTAAAAATATTATCCCTTATTACAATGAGGTTATGATGCATACTTAAAATTGTCACAGGCATTATTAATTTCTAGGATTTTGAAGTAACATAATATTTAAGAATCCATTTTAAGCAACAATATACTTAATATTGGTTAAGTATCAACCTATTTAAGAATCCATTTAATTCTTCTAAAACATTATCTTAAATTAATAAAATAAACTCAATATCATTACGAGTTAATTAAAAATTGGCACGATGTGATGATTCCTTTAACCGATGATTCAAAATAGAATCGATTTTTATGAGAGTGCAAATAAAAATAATTTATTTTATTTCAATGAGATTATGATACATATTTACAATCATCACATCGTCAATCATCAATCAAAATCATCATTCACCAATATTTCGCAATGAATAGATATATATTTTAGGCATCAAATATTTTGATTCTGAAACATCAATTTAAATTAATGTTAAATATTTAAGAATAAAATAGTATTCTAAAGATGGAGGATGGCATCCCACGCCAAAGCAGAGAAGCACGCTAATGTTCGCTCTCCTCCAAAAATCTTTGCCCGTGATATAAAAAACTACTCTCTAAAAGCGTGGTTGTTGCAACTTGTGAAAAGTGGGACACTAGAGAAATAAGTAGTGATGGCAGTCTCTTACTTTTAGTCCCCTTTTGAAGGCGATTCTTTGGGGAAGATGATGCCCCTCAAATGGAGTATCATCCTGTTCCTGGGTGGAATAACATTTCTCGGATTGCCAACAACAGGTAACATTACATCCATCCTATTATATTTCATATTTTATTCAAATTAATTTTGCAAATATTAGAAAATAATTTTTTCAAGGTGCCCTTGAGGTATTTATATTTTAGCATTGGTATTCGCATTGTTGCATTCTTTGAATTTATAATTTAATTAAAATAATTTAAAACTATGGATTTTAATTATGGATTTAAAACTATATTTTTTTAATATGTTTCGAGCTTCCAGACTAAAGGCACTCGTGACATTTATGTCTTTGACTTTAATTCATAAAAATAATTTTGTGAATTGTTTTATTAATTACGGGAAAGAAACAAAGAAAAAAAAAGCTGACCAAAAACTTGTGGGAATAAAAAAAAACGACATAAATACAATTAGCGTGAAATATTTTACAATTATTACCTACATTTTACCTTTAATATAATAACATTTAGAATAATTGGTTTCAAATGCCTTTTTTGAAACGAAAATTATCTTCATAAAATATAAATTTTATTAATTTATGTCATTCACAGAATATTTAAATTTATTCCACCTTGATTTACAACAAAATTTTCCACACAAATATTTCAAAATATAAAACTTTTTATGTAAATATCTTTCCTTTTTTTTAAATTAATTTATTATAACTATTATTAATTTAAATTAAATTTGTAGACCAATTATTATGTATCACAGTAAAGCATATATAAAATAATCAAAGAGGCTCAAAACATACATATATATATATATA